TGCAATGGACATGAACTTGGGCAAACTTTGGGAGACGGTGAGGGACAGGGAGGCCTGGCACACTGCAGTCCATGGGGTCATAAAGAGTTGGACACGACTGGGTGACTGAGCAACAACAACATTATTTGTTATACTGACACCAAGTAAACAGATACCTTTTTAAAGAGAAATGCTTTCTTCTCCATTAGTGCAAAGCTATTCTAAAGAATGTACTCTAATCTGCCAATGCAACCAGTAAAATTCAAGCCTCAAAAAAAAGTGCAGAACAACATGCAGTAAACTATAAACAATAGTTATGTCTGTAGACTAGATCTTTGCGTTATTTTAACTTTATACAATATGCACATATTAATTTTATAATAAAATGATAAATTTAAATATAGTTTCTCAAAAGAATAACCCTAACCCTAACACTTTCTCAAGAAGCAACAATTTCACTAAGGCGGTCATTATTATCCTAGTCATTATTATCACCTCTACAATTCACAGAAAGTTTGCACAGGGGCCATCATAAAGTAAAATCTCAATTAATCAAAAGGCAGTTAATAAACCATCAAATAACCAAATATATTTTCTAGACTCATTTTTTTAGCCAAACATTTTACAAGAAAACAGTGATATAAATGCCAGAAAAGTAAACGCCCTGAGAGCAAAACTGCTACTCCATTCCCAATGACCAGAACTAGGAATATTTTTCAAATAAACTTAAAGTATGAATTATAACAATAAAGTCATATATATTAAAACCCTGGAGCATCACAAGACCCTACATCATCAAAGAAAATTTTCTCTAGAATCAATGTGTTACACTAATCAAGGGTAAGAATGAAGACTTTCCGCAATGGTTGGAAGCCTTAATGCATTATCCTCTCCACTTTTCCCCACTCAATCACAAATTTTTAGAATTCTGAATTCTAAAAATTGACCATAAAAATTAATACATTATGATTACCTGCAGGTTTCCTTCACCTTTATGTTAGGGTACCTCACTCAAATATTTGCTTCTCAGGAAATGCAATCTGATGAGAATGGAATTTCTCAGAAAATGGATGCTGATGAGAAGCCTTTGGGGAAAGTCTAAATTAGGGTTTCATCTTCCATAAAATCTGTTGTAATTTTACCTTCTATTATATGTATTGACTATATTTTAAACCATTATGTTAGCCACAAGCATTTACTTCCTTGTACATACATCTACGTTTGCATATGACTATTCCACTTTACCAATTCTTTTCTAAGCTTCTTAAAAGCAGAGAACTTTCTTTGCTCTTTAAATCCTTGGGACAAAGCAAATACAAAATTTGATGGAAACAATAGTGAATAAACATACAAAGAGGCAAATAAGTATTTCTAACCCAACACTTGAGGTCCCCTGGATTCTAATTACATAGGAATTTTGTCAGTCACAATGACTATTTCAAATTTAAGATAATTTTTTCCCTGCTTTTCTTATAAATCTATGTCTTATACCCAAAAGAACACATTAAAACTACTGATAATTTTACTTTAAACAATTTGAAGATAACATAATCTCATCTTTACTTAATGTTTTTGTTTCTCAACACTGGTTGAGCATGTGCTATGTGCCATATAGCTTGCTGCAGTGTGAAGGCAAGGAAGAAAAGAGGAAGGATGGCATGTTAAGACAGGCTTCCAGCCCTAAAGAAGTTAATAAGAGAGCCCTGTAAGTAACAAAAATCCAGTATGACAGTATTGTGTGTATAAAGGCTCTGTGGAGTCAGGAGATTCATGAAAAGCTCTCCAAAGCAGGGAATGTGTGACTGGGTTTTGAAGGATGAGTAGGAGTTTACTAAGGTAGTGGTGGAAATGAGTACTCCTGGCAGAAGAAACAGCATCTGAAGAAGGTAAGGAATGAAGGAAAGAGCAAATATTTCTACTGCCTAGGCTTAGGGTGCCTGGGTGCTTGTGGCTTCCCCTCAGCACTCATGCAATGCGGGACACTTTCTGTGAGTGCCCCGGCCCATCATTGTATTATGATCCAGTTATCAGTGTCTGTCCCACCAGACTTGAGGTCAGGTACCTGTGAGCTCTGATGTTTATGTTTCCAGAAACTTACATAATGCCTGGCTCATAAAAACCTTCCAAAAAAGCTTTGCTTTACTTTTGATATTTATTTTATTGCACAAACACTACTCTCAAAACTTAAACATCTACCCTCTATCATCATTTTAATGATCACATTTAAATACTATAACAGTACAATGTGTACGTTTCTTAGTCCTAATTGCCTTTAGAACAATTTTATCATTTCCCAAGAAAACAATGTGCTTTGAAAAGAGATTTCATTAGATTTACAGATTAATTTTGAGAGAATCAACATACTTAATATATTCAAATTTTTAATTACGTGACAAGGGACGTCTCTTCATTTATTGATAGCTTTTAAAGTCTACTATATATGTTTTAAGTCGTTATAATTTTCATTAAACAAGCTATGCATATTTCTAGTTAAATGTATTCTATGTATTTAAATTTGTATTTGTAAATAAGATTTTTAAAACATATTGTCTCACTAATTACTACTAATTTGTAGGAGAGCTGTCAATTCATATATTTATTTTGTAGCCTATCAACTTATTGAAATTCAGATTTAATAGTTTTAAGTTGATCCATTTGCATTTTCTAGGTAGGCAATACCCACAATTAACAATAATTTTATCTCTTCAAAATGTATATCTTGTTTATTTTTCTCATTTCATTATGTTGAGTAGAAGTTACAGAACACTGTTAAATAATAGATAATATATCCTGCTTCTGTTTCAGTCTCTAGAATTTCTCCTATTTTTCTCACTGGTTCTAGATAAATTTTCTTTACTGTGTTAAGGAAGTTTTCTTTTATTAGTAATTTCCTATTTTTTCAAGAATATACGTTAAACTGCACTAGTTACCTTTCATCAGCTAGAGCTAAGCTGATTTGTAACTGGGAACATTTGTAACATTTGAGAACTATCATGTGTAATTAAAACCACTTGCTTCACACTCTAGAGTATCTATATTACCATAATTCTAAATCTCGGCATAATGGTTGTCTGCTGATGAGAAGGCACATGCTATTTTTCCTTTGAGGGGATGTAGGAAAGTGCCAGCTGTTTGATTAGTGCCATAACCAAAACTTAAAATATGATGGCCTGATTCCCACGCACTCTTATGTCAGGTGACGGCCTCTGGCACGGTGTGGATTTATCCCGCCGACCTACTGATGGGGACACGGTGGGAAACAAAGCAAAGTTTCTATCTAAGACAATCACTGGCACATAATCGGCACCAAATAAGTCTTTATTGAATGATAAATAAAAATATCTAGGGTACTGTAATAGCTTTTTTGGAGGTAGTTTTGGACCCCTTTTTAAAATCATGTCCATAAATTTTAGTCAATTTAAGTTTTACTCTTCAATTTAAATTTAGGCATTTGTTTATATAGAAGACAATCTATTTTATCCAGACTTTTAAGTTTTTAGCACTATTAATTTCATAGCTTAAAAAATTACCTCCATGAAAAAGAGAAAGCTCTATAATAGTGTCTTGCTATTATCTTCAAAGAGTTATTTGATATTTCTCCCCCTTCCCACCCCCTTTTTTTTTTCATTTCTAAGGGGTAGGGTCCTTAATTTAAACTTACTAATTTTTAACTTTGACTGTGACCAGAGAATGTATACTTTTTTTTTGCCTAATTGAGATTATTTTTGTGATCAATATGTACCAATATTCCAAGAGTAGAGGAAAGAGGGTATATTCTCTACGTAGCAGTCCCCAACCTTTTTGGCACCAGGGACCAATTTCGTGGAAGACAATTTTCCCAAGGACCAGGGTTGAGGGGGATGGTTTGGTAAGGATTCAAGGGCATTACATTTACTGTACACTTCATTTCTATTGTTATTACATCTGGTTCACCCCAGGTCATCAAGCATTAGATCCTGGAGACTGGGGACCCCTGCGCTATGGAATATAAAGTATAATCGATAATTATTAGGTCTTTTATTTACAGTTAACACCATGATGCTTTACCACCTCCATCCCCATTCTCTTTTTTCTGCTTGCTTCATCTAACAAAACTGTAAGTGAGTAACATTTATAGAAAGAACAGTGAGTGAAAGAATGAATATAGTGGAACAAATTGACTGAGGGATATATAAACAGAAAAGGTCAAGGAGTGAAAAGCTAGTTTATAAGATATGTCTTTAACAGTAGGACCATTTTAAAAGCTCAGATTAATAAAGTCTAACTTTCTGATACAGAATGAAAGCACAAATATTTAAAATCCTGTAATCTTGGCACAATAAACATGATAAAGAGTAGTTTTAAGTTTATAAAAATAAAGTGAAAAAAGTTAAAGTGTCAGTCACTCAGTGGTTCCTGACTCTTGGTGACCCTGTGGACTGAACCCCTCCAGGCTTCTCTGTCCATGGAATTCTCTAAGCAAGGATACTAGAATGGGTAGCCATTCCCTTCTACAGGGCATCTTCCTGACTCAGGGATCAAACCCAAGTCTCCTGCCTTGCAGGCAGATTCTTTAGATTCTTTACCTCTGAGCCACCAGGGAGGCCAGGAAAATAAAACTATCAAATAATTGCTAAGTTTTTAAAAGTCTAATTAAATTATACATGCCTGTCACGGAGAAATAAAAGAAAGCAAGATAATTTAAATTCTGGCTCCATCACATAATAGTAATATGTTACCTTGAGAGAGTCATTAAACCTCTTTAGACCACTTACCTCTAAAGGAGGTGTGCAGGTTGCTATAATAATGCTTATAAAGTAACTAACATTTAAAAAGTTCTTAAATGTCTCCAATGAGTTGGAGCTCATATTTTCAGGAAGTTTTATTAAAATTTATATGAATTTGACAGTGTTCCACCTTCAAATATCTTAACAAGAAAGAAAACCTAGTATATGATACTTCCTTTGAGGAAAGACACATCTGAACAAAGGTATTGTTTTGACTTCTAAAAATGAACTTGAAGGTAAACAACAAGGACCTACTGTATATAGCACAGGGGATTCTACTCAATATCTTTCAATAATCCAAATGGAACAGAATCTGAAAAAGAATATATATATATATATGTAACATATGTATACACATACATTCATATATAAAACCAAATCATTGTGTTGTACACTAGAAACTAAGACAATACTGTAAATCAACTATACTTACATTTGTAAAAAATGAACTTGAAACTTGCAAAAAAGGTAGTATTTACTATTCTGTGATATTCAGATTAGCAAGACCAATTGCCAGACTTTATTTAGTGTTATTTTTAACTAAAATTGTATCTTTAACTAAATTGTATTTAGTAGAATATTCATTTATCTGTCAAAACTACAGAGAAATCAACAAAAATAAAACCATCAGTTGTAGCTAGAAAGTATATACCATGGAAAACAAAGCAAATGCTAATGCATTAATAAATCGAGACAGAGGTATAAACATATGTGAAAATATAATTTTAATCACCACTGAGTTCTTACCTTTGGTTGCTTAAGCACTATATCTATGTCTTCTAGAAACCGAAGTCAGTGGTGCATCCAAAACAGGGATATAGTGTAAATCTGGACATTGTCAAAATCCAGGTCCTAATTTTTAAAAGAAATAAATATACTGATCTTTTTCCTTTCTTTAAATATGCACGAACAGCTAGTTTTCCTAATCATTCCCAAGGAAAGAAACAGTTCTGTGGCATTGACAAAGGAGGATTTTCATGAGCCAGTATTGGATTTGCGGATTTATATACAGATGAAAATAACAGCAAAGCACCATTATCCTTTGCTAGAGCCCAAGCTTATTAATATGTGACAGATTTAGGAACAAAAGGGGTTTTCTCATACTATACCTCTTAACAAATTTGCAGTTAAACTTAACCCAAGGTAATATTGGCTAATGAATTTTATTAAAGTTCTATTTTCAATTCACCCAGCATTACAATCTGGATAGAATTATAGGCTTTTACAAATTATGACTAGAATTTTAAATAGAGTGCCATCATAATAAAACTATTAAAATATAAATAAGGTGTACTTATTTATTAATTGACCCATTTAATGTGTGTTTTGTGGAAGAGCTGTATGTCTGAAACATATCTAGTCAGAAATAAAATTGGATGAGTTTTAGCGTCCCTGAAAGAATAAGGCATACTTTAGGTGTGGCAATAAGCTATACCAGTTAGTGTCCAAATATTATTCTAATGACCAAACAGCAAATTTCCCTCAGAGTTTTTAATGCGATATTTGATGGTTTACATACTCACTAAGGGCTTTTCTGGTGGCTCAGCTCGTAGAGAATCTGTCTTCAGTGCAGGAGACCGTGGTTCAATTCCTGGGTTGGGATGATCCCCTGAAGAAGGGAAAGGTATCCACTCCAGTATTCTGGCCTGGAGAATTCCATGGACTGTATAGTCCAGGGCATCACAAAGAGCTGGACATGACTGAGCAACTTTCACTTCACTTCACATACTCACAAAACTTCTTTTCTGTAGACTTCCTTAATATGCTTAGTTAGATATCTCTACTTGGAAGTAAGGATTTTTCAGAAAATTATACTTGTCTAATAAAGAAGAACTTCTTGTTCTTAAATTTAATGTTCACTTTACTTCCGTCTCTCTTACACAGTCACCTTTAGGTTGGGGTGGTGTCTGTGACGCCATGCTGAGTTTACACGCAGAGGTTTTGGAGTCACAGGCCTGGCTTGAATCTCAGCTCCAAGTTCACCAGCTCTGAGACTAGAGCATGGTAGTGAACCCTCTGGGCCTCAGTTTCAGTCTCCATGGAATGGACATGATAATACCTTGCAGATCTGAGGATTAAAATGAGATATAGTAACATGAAGAGATTATTACACTTCCTAAAACAGAAAAACATCTTTCTGCTTTATTGACTATGCCAAAGCCTTTGACTGTGTGGATCACAATAAACTGTGGAAAATTCTGAAAGAGATGGGAATACCANCATATGAATAAAGGAATGGATTTTGTACAAAGGAATGGATTTTGAAATGATTATTAAATACAGAAAAACAGTAGGAGACTAGCCTGTGTTCCTTTAGCTGTGAAGGAAGTAGAAAGACAGTGAATCTCAGATAGTGACCAGTGCGGGACACTAGGTGGTGCCATTAGTCTAGGCTCTTTATTTGATGCCACTGGAGGCTGAATAGCCTCAGGGTAAAAGATAGAATCAGGAATCCAACTCAATGGGCATGAGTTTGAGTAAACTCAGGGAGTTGGTGATGGACAGGGAGGCCTGGCGTGCTGTGGTTCGTGGGGTCACAGAGAGTCAGACACGACTGAGTGACTGAACTGACCTGAAAGCATGGTAAACACTTGATAAGTGACTATTAAAGTTTTTTAGAGATAAATAGCAGAGTTAAACTTTATTTTATAATAATTAGTCTACTGTGACAAATGTGTATGCTTTCTTTTAAAAGTTTAAAATACATTTTCTTAAAAATTTCCTGGTGGTCCAGTGGTTAGGACTCCACACTTCCAGTGCCAGGAGCCCAGATTCTTTCCCTGGTCAGGGCACTAAGATCCTACAAGTCACGTGGCATGGCCAAAAAGAAGTTAAAAAAAAAAAAAAAAAGTACATTTGCTGACTCAGGAAATATCTTACAGTTATTTAGAGCAATCTTTTTCTAATCTTACCTCATACACCAAGTGAAAGTCATGTCCAATGCTTTGTGACCCCATGGACTATACAGTCCAGGGAATTCTCCAGGCCAGAATACTGGAGTGGATAGTCTTTCCCTTCTCCAGAGGATCTTCCCAACCCAGGGATCAAACCCAGGTTTTCCACATTGCAGGCAGATTCTTTACCAGCTGAGCCACAAGAGAAGCCCCAAAATACTGGGATGGGTAGACTATCTCTTCTCCAGTGGATCTTCCCGGCCCAGGAATCAAGCTGAGATCTCCTGCATTGCAGGCAGATTCTTTCCCAACGAGCTGTGAGGGAAGCCCAAAGATGTAACTGAAACAAATATACCTAAACATAAAACAAGATGCCAAGATTAGGAACTTGCTCCCTCATGATGCCATTCATTTTCCCCTGGATTGTCTGTTAACTGAAATACTCTTAGAATGATTCAATGAATTAAATAAGTTTGAGCAATAATTCTGATACCTTTCTTCCTCCTGCCAACTCAACCCCTGGTTGACATAAAACTTCATAAAACTTGCCATTATAAAATAGCTATTCACCAATGAATCACACACACACACCATTAGAATCTCTCATTTATTTTATCTTCGCTTACTAGCTTACATTGCCTTTGTGCACCTTTCCTATTCCAAAACTATAATTAAGGATGAAATGAATATTTTTGATTCTTGGGATGACACTTGCTAGTTGTGCAGTCTTGAGAAAATGACTTAATCTTTCTGAGTCTCAGTTTCCTTATCTGTAAAATGGAAATCTAATACGTCCCTCAGAAGGTTTTTGTGAGAAAAATGGAGGAAGATTACAGCATACGATATGCTCATGGTATATATAAGAGGACACTTAATAACGTGCTCTCTCTCCTTTCGCTTTCCTCTAAACTGGAGCTTTGCAGCACATTGCTTAGGCCTTACCTGTATTCAACATGTTGCGATTGGACTTTTGACAGCCAAGTACGTGTAGCTATTAAATAACTAATAGGTAAAGATACAGAGCTATTTTTTATACCGTGTTTCTAAACAATTTGTTACATAATTCTAGCAGTGTGTGACCCAATAAAATAATTCTCTTCAGTTTTTTAAAATGAAAATCTGTGTTTTCTGTGTGTACAGTACTTTACAATGTGAAATAACAGTCCTTCATAAAGGCATAGAATTCATCCAACATGTAATTCCCGAGCACCACACTATGCTGGGTGCTGTTCTAAGATATGGGAGCCCTTTCCTTAGAGATTGTCCACAAGAGGGAAACAGGCAAAGCAAGAGGTGCTTACAGAAGAGTGTGATAGAGGGTTAAGGAAGCACACAAAAGAAGCCCTAAGATTTGGAGAGGAAAAGAGTTGGTCAAGAAAACTTCTGGGGGAAAATTATCTCTGCTGAAACTGAAGGTAAGTAGGAATGTTGTATTTATATATACAACACACATACTAGGATATTTTTCTGATTTACCCAAATTTAAAAGGGTAAAAGTATGTTTCATCTTGTTTCATTTTGTTTTCCCCTCCAAAGGACAATTAACTTGACCTGGTCTACCAATAGATTTCTCTTCCTGGGACCTGCAGTAACCTTGACTGATGGAGAGAACACGGCCACACTGGATTATCTGTTTAGTAGGCTACTTTTAGTCTGGTTCCCAGCCTTGCTTCGTCAGCTCCCTCTAAATCTTTATAATCCTATTTAAACTGCCTCTAACTGTATATGCTCATTTGTGTGACATTGATTCTGTTGTATTTTCATTTCAAAAATTGTGTGATTTAAAGGATTCTGGCACTTGGCCCTAAATTATTAAATATTTGATAGTATGTCTTCCAGCATACCAAGACCTGTAGTCAGAATGGTCAATGATGTCTTCTCAACACTTATAACCATAATAATTAAATATCGTGTAAAGTAAAAGTCACTCAGTAGTGTCTGACTCTTTGTGACCCCATGGACTATACACTCCATGGAATTCTCCTGGCCAGAATACTGGAGTGGGTAGCCTTTCCCTTCTCTAGGGGATCTTCCCTACCCAGGGATCGAACACAGGTCTCCTGCATTGCAGGCAGATTCTTTACCAGCTGAGCTACATTGTTTAATGTCTGCCTTCCCTATAAAAATTGTAAACTCCACAAGGGATGGTGTCTGTGTTATTCACGACTGTATCTTTAGTGTCTAGCTCAATACCACGCATAACCATTCATTTAACAGATATTCAGTGCCAGGATCCCTTCTAAGCACTAAGAAGTTTAATAGTAAACAAAACTAAGTTCCTGCCCTCATGGAAGATACATTCTAGTGGGGTAGGACAGCACAAGACAACAAACTAAGCAGTAAACACAGAAGTCAGACAGTGATCAACAATATGATAAAATAAGGCAGGGGGAGAGAAAATGATGTGGGGATAAGGCAGGACAGTTTTAGACGGGTATTCAGGGAAGACCTCTCCTAGATGAGACCTCAATATAGGCACAAAGCTAGTCATGCCTAGTTCTGGGGGGCAGATCCTGCCTAGCAAGAAAACATGTGCAAAGCTCAAAAACAGGACTGCCTTAGAGTATTTAAAGAACATCAAAGAGGTCAGGTGGCTAAGTTAGAGGAAACAAAGGCTGGAGGGGAAGGAGTTAAGGTCTTAGAGGACAGATCATGTGAAGAACAGTTAGGAGGCTATGCCAGCAAATCAGTGAGAGATGGCAGTGGTTCAGACCAGGATGGCAGATGTGGCGATGATGAAAAGGCGTGCATTTTTAAGACAGAGACAATAAGATTTGCTGATTGAGTACATGGAGGCGGGGGTGGGGGTGGTGTGAGTGAAAGAATGAAGTCCAGGTGGACTTTAGATTTTGACACATGAAACTAAAGAAGAGATTGTAGGATCCTCTATGACCCACATCCCAGAATTTTAGAAATAAAAGCAAAAATAAACAAATGGGACCTAATGAAACT